AAGCTTAGCTTAGCTTAACTTAGCCTAGCCTAGCTTAGCTTAGCTTAGCTTAGTTTTGCCTAGCCTAGCTTAGCTTAGCTTAGCTTAGCTTAGCTTAGCTCAGCTTATATCATCTTAGCTTAGCGTAGCTTAGCTAAGCTTGGCTTAGTTTAGCTTTGCTTAGCCTAGTCTAGCTTAGCTTAGTTTACATTAGCTCCGTTTAGCTTAGCATAGCTTAGCGTACCTTAGCTTAGCTTAGCGCAGCGCAGCATAGCGCAGCGCAGCATTAGCACAGCATAGCATAGCACAGCATAGCATAACATAGCCAAGCATAGCATAGCATAGCAAAGCAGAGCAGAGCAGCGCATAACATAGTATATCATAGCAAATCACAGCATAGCATAGCATAGCATGGCGCAACACAGCATTGCATAGCATAGCATTGATTAGCATAGCACAGCGCAGCATAGCATCACATAGCACAGCACAGCATAGCACAGCATAGCATAGCATTATCATAGCGCAGCATAGCATAGCAGTGCATATCATAGCATTGCATAGCATAGCGCATCATAGCATATCATAGCATAGCCTAGTATAGCATAGCATAGCGCAGCATAGCATAGCATAGCAAAAGCAAAACCAGAGGCAATAGCAAAAGCAAAGGCAATGCAAAGCGAGAGCAAAACCAATGCGAAAGTGTAGATGTAGATGTAGGTGTAGGTGTAGATGTGGATGTAGGTGTAGATGTAGGTGTGGATGTAGATGTAGATGTGAGTCTCGCTGTTGATGTTGATGTAGATGTAGATGTAGATGTAGATGCAGGTGTAGATGTAAATGCAGCTGTCGGTGTAGATGTAGATGTTGCTTTCCTAAATGCTCCAACTCCTAGGTAGGGTCGCTCTGGGATAATTTTGACTGGCATCACCGCGAACGTGTCCAAGGTGAAATGCCCCAGCACAGCCCCCCGCAGGGGCGACCCTGGAGAGATGCCCTCCCTCACGACGCGACCCGCCCGCACCGAGAAAACCAAGGCGGAGGCCATCCTTCCCTCGCCCGCCCGCTCCCCTGCCCTCCCCCCTGCCCTGAGACCACGGAGACCACGGGGACGAGCACGAGGCGCCAGCGGCACCTCCCCGCGCGGACTGCCACCCGGCGCCCCCCTGTGGCTGCTTTCGACGAGGAGGGGGAGGAGGAGGAGGAGGAGGAGGAGGAGGAGGAGGAGGAGGAGGAGGAGGAGGAGGAGGAGGAGGAGGAGGAGGAGGAGAAGGAGGAGGAGGAGGAGGAGGAGGAGGAGGAGGAGGAGGAGGAAGAGGAGGAGTCGGCGGAGAAGGAGGAGGAGGAGGAGGAGGAGGAGGAGGGGGGGGAGCAGGAGGATGAGGAAGAGGACGAGGAGCAGGAGGGGGAGGAGGAGGAGGAGGAGGAGGAGGAGGAGGAGGAGGACGAGGAGGAGGAGAAGGCGGAGGAGGAGGCGGAGCCCCCGAAGCCAAAAATGTTGCGATCTCCTGGGCTCGCGCTCCTCACTTCCGCCGCCTCCCGCCGGCCCCTGGGCCGGCGGAGGGCCGTCCCAACGCTTTGCTTCCGCCGCCTTCCACCGACCTGCCGCCGACTTCCGCAGAAGACGAGAGGGCAACTCCCTCGATCCGCGAAGGCAAGGCCCATTTTGGAACGCCTCATGTCGTGCTCGGCCTCTGGGGAACCTCACCAGGCCCCGGGACCGTCAAAAAAGCGGCTCGGCGCAAGAAGCCGACCCTGGGACAACGGGTCGGGACTTCCAGGGGGCTGGTAGACCTGGCCCGGCACGGAAACGGAAAGAGCGCTTCAGAAAGAGAAACCGAAATTACTCACACCACCGTTCGTACTGGGAGCCTTTGCGTTGAGAGCTTGTTACGTCACCCCTCGCTGTTGGGAGCCTTGGTGTTCAGAGATTGTTGCGTTGCCGCCCGTTCCTGAGCCTTAGCTGGGCCTTGGTATCAGGAACTTGTTACGTCACCGCTCTCTGCTGGGAGTCTTGGTCTTATCAGCTTGTTTACGTCACCGTTCGCTCTTGGGAGCCTTGGTGTGAAGAGCTTTTTGCGTTACCGATCGCTCTTTATTTGGCGTCTCTGGGCCTTCTTGGGAGTGATATTGGGGCCCTTTTCGGGCCCTTTCGGAGGCCTCTTGGGAACCTCTTGGGGGCCTCTTGGGGCTTCTTGGGGGGCTCTGGGGGCCTCATGGGAGCTTCTTGGGGCGAAAGGCTAGACTTGTCGGTTCGTGGTCCCCCTCTTGGGGCCGTCTTGGGGCCATGTTGGGCCGTCTTGGGCGCCTCTAGGGCCGTCTTGGCGCCCTCTTGGGCCGTTTTGGGGGCCTCTTGGGAGCCCCTTGGGCCGTCTTGGGGCGGTCTTTGGGGCCTCTTGGACCGTCTTCAACGCCGTGAAAGCCGAAAAGCCTTGTATGCTAAAAATGCAACTTTTCCCCATAGGAAATCAATGATGTTGGCCTCCTGGTGGCCTCTTGGGACGCCTCTTGGGGGCCTCTTGGGGCTTCTTGGGGGGCTCTTGGGGACTCCTGGGAGCGTCGTGGGGCGAACGGCTAAACTTTTCGGTTCGTGGTCCCCCTCTTGGGGCAGCCTTGGGGCCCTCGTGGGCCGTCTTGGGCGCCTCTTGGACCGTCTTGGGGCCCTCTTGGGCCGTTTTGGGGGCCTTTTGGGAGCCTCTAGGGCCTTCTTGGGGCAGTCTTGGGGGGGTCTTGGGGGCCTCTTGGGCCGTCGTCAACGCCGTGAAAGTCGAAAAGCCGCATATGCTAAAATACGTTTTCCTAAAGAAAATCAATGATTTGGGCATCTTGGGGCCCTCTTGTGACGCCTCTTGGGGCCCTCTTGTGACGCCCCTTGAGCGCCTCTTGGGGGCCTCTTGGGAGCCTCTTGGGCCGTCTTGGGCGGTCTTGGGCTCTCTTGGAGCGCTCTCGGACCGTCTTGGGGGGGGAATGCAAAAAAACATTCAAAACCTATGGAAAACCCGAAAACGGCCATTAACGCACATTCCCTCGCCCTACGTCCCCCCCCTGGAACCCCCCCTTAAGGGCTTCGCCCCACACCAGAACGTCATCACTCGTACCTCACGCTTTCCGTTACTGCAAAAACCAAAGCATCGAGTAACTGAGTTGTGCCCCCTTCGGGTTGGCCAGGAGGTCCTCAGGACAGAAGAGGCCCCAGCCCCACCCTCACCCCCCGCACTCCTCGCCTGGCCGCTCCTCCTCCTCCTCATCTTCCACCTCCTCCTCCTCCTCCTCCTCCTCCTCCTCCTCCTCCTCCTCCTCCTCCTCCCCTCCTCCTCCTCCTCCTCCTCCTCCTCCTCCTCCTTCCTCCTCCTCCTCCGCCTCCTCCTCCTCCTCCTCCTCCTCCTCCTCCTCCTCCTCCTCCGCATCCTCCTCCTCACCCTCCCTCCCTCCTGGTATTGCTGTCTCCCACCCCTTACCCACCCCCCACCCACTGCCGCCAAGGTTGGTCTTCCCCTGGTGGAACCTGATGGCACTGAGAGTGGGGGTGTCGTTTCGCCGCTCCTGAAAGACGTAGAACCGTCGAGGACCCGTCAGTAGAAACCAATAGAACACCCTAGAAACGACTGCAACCCCCAAAAAACACTCCTCATCTCCCATCGCCCCCTCCTCCTCCTGCTCCTGCCTCCTCCTCCTCCTCCTCCTCCTCCTCCTCCTCCTCCTCCTCCTCCTCCTAGTAAGATTAGTAGGATTAGAATTCCTCTTCGTAGTATTATTATTAATAATATCAGCTATTAGTATTATTGTTCTTAGTCTGATTAGTATTATTATGATTGGTCCTATCATTATTCTTAGTATTACTATGAATAGTATGTGTATTCCTCCTCCTCCTCCGCCTCCTCCTCCTCATCCTTCTCATCCTCCTCCTCCGCATCTTCGCCTCCTCCTGCTCCAACCTTCGAGAAATTACTAGAACCTTTTGAGCCCCCAGAGCCCTTTACGTAGTACCTCTTCGGCCCAGCCTCCCGAATTTGTTTTGTTCCCTATAAAAAAACGACACAACACAACAAAACAAAGACAAACTATCCGCAATCATACCGCGAGGCACTGGGTGAAGTGTCCTCAGGTCCCCTTGAGGTCTCTGGACTGGGCAGAGCCTTCGTGCGTGCTCCCACAAGGAACGCTGAACAAGGAACGAAGGGTTTTTTCTGGCCATGGCGAACCTCGGCCACGATAGAGGACGAACAAACAAACAGTACTGTCGGAGGTTCTCGCGGATTTCTTGGATGTGCGCTGTATGCCTTTCCCTGGCGCGCGGAGCGCACCAGGGACGGTGCCAGAGGCGCCGCCAGAGTGTTCCAGCGCACGCCCAAGAAATCCGCGCGGAGCTCCGAAAGTCCATATTCATGTTTTCCTGGGGTTCCCCTCCTTGGGTCGTCTTGGCGACGAGTCGACGTCGGGCTGAGGGAGGAGGAAGCCCAGACGTGGAAAAAATACCCCAGCAAAGCACCCGAATAATAGCAACAAAGGTCAAGAAGCGGGTCGAGGAGTAGGAGGGCGGCGAGTGAAGACGTGCAGTCCTAGGCATCCCTTCGGGTTCCTAGGAGAGATGCAGCCGGGACAGAAGTAAGAACACGGCCACCTTGGTGCGTTGAATAGGAAAATGCCCGCGAGGCCCGAAAAAATGGCCGTCCGGAGCAATCACGAGGAAGCCTCCAGCGAAACGGCAGCCGGCCCAGGCGGTCTCAGGATTCGGGAATCAAGACATTTGGCCGCTTCTGGGCCCCAGGACTGTCAAACCTGATGTAGCCACGAACCCCGACCTTGGAGGACAAGTGGGCATGACTTGCGAGGAAGGAGGAAAACGAAGAAGAGGATGCCTATAGGGTGCATAATGCTGATTCCCATGCTGTCCGTTTGACACTGTGCCGCTTTAAGGCGCATGATGCTGGTTCCCGTGTTGTCCGTTTAACGCCGTGCTACTTCGTCGGGGCGCCCCCGACCATTTTAGAGCCCCAGGACTGTCAAAACACGACAGGGGGGTC